TTGGTCTACGTTGCATATATTGAACTCTAGTTAGAACTGTAAATTGAAAGAAGATTTCAGGAGATTATGAGCACCAATGAACTGCTGCATGTAAAATGACACCTAAAAGGACTAAACTCTAATTCATATCGTCCGCTCTAATCTTCTGCTAAATGCAAATCCTGAAGAAAAAATGTCATTAAAGTTTGGGTAACTCTTGCATTAAATTCGAAGACTTAATAGGTCAGATAACTTTGAAACACACATATTATCTTGTCCTGACCGATACAGAGATAAGAACTACAAGGAAAAACGGTCTAATTTTTTCTGAGACCTGACAGCTAATCTAGTGAGCTTTTGCACAGCGCATTGCAAGATATAATGGACTATCGATAAGAAAGCATGGTGACAATTCCGAAATGGTCAAAAGATCACGGAAACTCTTTAGACCAAACCAGATCTATTTGCTTTTCCTGCTAATCTCCATTTCACTTTTCTGTGCAATCGATGATCTATCAATCATAAACCTGACAATATGCTCAGTAATCGTGGTTTACACAACGTTTGAAACATCTATGCACAAATAGGAAAAATTGTATGTAGTACGTGCACGCAAAGACAACGTACACTAATAGAACAATCAAAATATCATTACAAGTAATAAATGAATGAGAATTTCACCATAGAATACGGATAAAACGAGATGTGCACCAGCAAGTATTCGATAAATACAGAATGCATAACTCTTTCTTTCGATAAGCACTCCGCTGAAATCTTTGGATAGGAATGGTTTACTCCCGAGCATACTGCAGTGTCCACTCTCTTGCCGTGCGAATCGCTTCAGTTTCATTAGTCTTCCACTGCTCAGCGACATCAGTAGCTAGCGGATCCTTTGATTCAACAACATTGGAAAATTTATAAGCAGATGAAACTAGTATACGACTCAAGAAAAAACCTACCTCCGGATTTGGTGCAGAGAGCAGTGCTTGAATCGACAAAAGAACAGTGCGAATTTGCAAAGCAGGGGACCACTTGTCTAAAACTTATACTATTTCAAAATGTTTCTAAAAAATTGTAACAGTTGGGTACAAAACTTTGTGAATTTAGCAAACTTTCAAAAGTTCTAACCTTTCAAAATATCGAGACAGATCCTTCCCAGCTTATCAATATTAGGATGGTAGATCTTTGTCATGAAACGTACCTGAAAAGATCCTACACGTTAACGATGAATAACGCTGCAAGATGCTTTTTAAAAATAACTATCTAAATTATTTGACACTTTTAGATTCGACCAAACATAGATTTCAAAAGCAGTTTGCCTTTTCCATCTCTATTTGAAAATTGACCGCACATTGGTCTCATGCCACTATGTAAATGCGTTAGTTTTCTGAGCAAGTGTGAAAGAATGGGACACACGCGACTCGACGAGTCAAACTCACATGGAGTCATCACTAATAACCGCAAGTAACTTTAGATGTGATTAGAATTTTCCCTCAACTTCTGCTAACGCACCAAATCCGACTTTAACAACCAAACTTATTAGCGTTGGAGAACATTGGAGATTACAGATTTATAATATATTGACTGGTCTTGAATGCACTTCATGACTCCTCTGAGGAAAGCTCAAAGCGAGCTTACGATCCTCAATTGCAAGCATAGGATTCATTTAAAAAAAAGTTCCAGCCAAGAAAACATTTATCAATGATGAGTCAGGTGGGCGAGCGTGCTTCTGATCAAAGTACATCAGTCTGATCACGTTGAAT